TAAATACATATTTATAATATATACATATATATAGTAATTATTTTGGAGAGAGGATCATGGGGCAACTGCAGATAATGCTGTGAAAATAGAGTCTCAGGGCTGAGTCCAAAAGGGAAATCCAATGCTAAGAATTATAGGGAATGAACAGGGATTAAATCAGACCATCTCATTACACTGTTGAAACTATCCGGGCTGTGATCCGTGCTGAGCAGTGCATGCAGTTTTCCTCTGCTCGTCTCAGAAAATCTTGGGGAAAAAAAACAAGACGTATTCAGGGAAGAGCATAGCTATGATACAGCTGCTCCACGTTCCATGTTGGGTTGATTATCTGCCTTGATTATTTAGATTAGGATCTCATCAAGGCAGAATCTCCTGCAAAATCACCTTCCAGCACGCAGCCCAGCAAATGCATCCAGGTGACACTCACAAAGGAGCTGGCACAACAGCAACGTGAAAGCTTTCAGCAAGCTCTTTGGACAGGAGGTTCATAAAAGTCTGCTAATACCAGGAAACGTTGTACTTTTTGTGTAACTTCAGCTTTGGGTCCATATTGATTTCCTCTTAGCACTGCTTTAAGTCTAGTGGACTTAAATACAATGAACACACTCCACTGTTCATCTCAAAACCCCACTAAAAGCGTTGTGATCTGCATTCCACGAGCACCCAGCTCTGGGCTGGGGGTCCCCATCCCACCTCTGCCCGCTACCCTCTTCCACACCATCACTCTGCAGGGTTGTCCTGTGTCCACGAGGTTGGATGCTCCTCTCTCATCAGCTTCCCATCTCTTTTTTGACCCATCAGCCCAATAGCTATGAGTATTGCAATAAGACACTAAGCCTCTATGTTGAATTCATTAATTTCCTTTATTTATATATAGGAAAGGCAATAAAAGAATATGATAGTGTACACCAGAGATTTGATCCCAAGTGTCCTCTCTAGCAGACTTTCTGCTTGCGTTATCCATAGCAATGTCTGTGCTTTGCCTTTTCCTCAACGGCAACACAATATTCCCACCCTGATACCCCACAGTCAGGATTAGGCCCTGCACCCAGGACCTAAGGCACAAGTCTCTGCCACTTGAGCTAGAGAAATCTCTACTTACAGGCAGGAGCGAGGAGCAGGCAGGGACAACGGCTGGGGGAGGACATGGGAGAGAGCTGTGGTCCTGTAGACACACTGCCTGGGGCTTGAGTTGGCCACCTGCCACCAAAATCAGCCTTGTCCCATTACTGATTTATATAATACATTGGTTTACATAGTATGTATTTATATTGAGTTGATATGATATATCTGGTTGGGCTACTTTCCTTGCAAATCAGCATTTTAAAAAAAAATAGCTACTGGGTTTAGCGGGGCTTTTTTGTTTGCTGCTCAGTTCAAGGTATCCCAAAGGAAAGCCCAAGTTTTAAAGGGCAGATCCAGCCCAGAAAGCCATGAGATGACAGCAGCAGAAAGAGGTTAACCAAGTCCTAAAGACACATCTGGAAAAACAGCTGCGTGCTGCGTGTCCCCTAACAGCATCCAGAGGTCACCAGTAATGCAACGGGCCTTCACTGGAGCCCAAAAAACCCTGACTGGACCAGGTCAGTCTCTCTTGGCTGGAGGGGTCTGTGCCCCTCGGTCTCTTTTGGGTGCTTTGCAATGCTGCATTAAAACCCCTCTGGTCGACCTGCCACTGCTCACTGTGACCAAGCAGGCTTGCAACCTCACCGCCTCACCAGATCAGCATTGCCACGTTGGCTGCTTGGCAGTTTTCAGCCTTTTTCTATCTTTAGAGGTGTGTCAAAGTGGGTTCTCAAAACCACATTAAAAAAACCCAACAACGAAGCAGAGGTCCCCCCAAAACCTAATCAGCACCACAGGAAGAGCTGCAGATGGGACATCTCCATCCCTGGGGCCCTGCTGGGTCCGTCTTCATCCCCGTCCCAGTCCCCATCCCCTCCCCAGGCTGGTGGCATGGCTCACAGCAGGCAAGACACGGCTACGCTGAAGCAAAAGGGCACTTCTCCGAGCTGTCAGCAGCTGCTCATCTCCGCGTTAGCTTAGTTACATTAAGGCGTGAAGACCAAGTGCATAGGAAGCGGTGAGACCCTCCAGGTGCCTCCAAATCAGCCCCTGAGTCCTTTTCCATTGAAATGTTCCCCAAATCCTCCTCCAAGATGCTTACTGTCATCAGGGTGAGGAAGAGGAGCCTCTGGCTTTGGATTGGCCCCGTAGACATTGACTATCTGGTTTAACCCATTGGCTAGAAGACGAGTCCGTGAAAGGAGCCAGATCCACCCCCGCCCGCCGCCGGGCTGCAGCCCCCCGATGAGTTGTCATCGTCCTTGTCCCTGTCAAAGTCTCTCCACCACAGCGGGGATTTCGGCAAGGCAGAAATGTAGGCGGCTCTGTTCCTTGCTTCTTTTTCCTGCTCCTGCGAGAAGGAAGGGAGAGAAATAACACAAGGATAGCTGCAGCTAAATGATTTGGGTGAGGGGATGCTCCCACCTTCCCGGAGGAGCCAGGAGCCTGTTTGGTGCCCCTGGGAGCCTCCTTCAAATTAAACCGGGGTGAAAAGGCCGTGTGCTCACCTCTAGAGTTTGGTGGGAGGGGTGCAGCAAAGCATTGCATCTCTCCAGCGATCAAAAAACAGCCCTTCCACGTCAACTCTGGGAGAGGAGGGACCCTTCAAATTCCCCCGGGTGCTGCCCATGTCCTATGGGACATTGCTGTTTGGAAAGCATTGAACTCCACCAGTTGAATGAAATCGGTTCTAGTTTGTATTCACAACTCACCCGTTTTTCCCAATCACTTAGGAGAAAATTTCAGGCGGAGCTGCCTGGGGTGGGCAACAGCAAGTCAACCCCAAGCACAGCCACAAGGTGTCTTGCACCAACCTCAGCACCCAATTTCATCGGGAAACTGCAACCTGTTTATATCTGAGTGCTATAAAGGAAAAGGGATTTGACTTCAGGGACTGGGCAGGTATCTGCAAGCACGGATGTACCTGCAGGACGGGATCCTGCTGCTGCCCGGATGGGTGGGAACATGGCCCATGAGCCAGGCAGCCACAGGATCATACCTGCTGTGCGTGGCAGCAGGAGTTACCTGCAAGTAGAGGATGTTATCTTTGGAAATGGCTTCCATCAAGTCCTTATGGAGGGAGGGTTCGCCGTGCAGACGTCCGGCCTCAGCCAGAGCCTCATGCAGCAGGCAGCTCTGCCTGCCCGGCCGCTGCCTGTAGAAAAGGACGTAGGCAGTGTCCTTGGGGAAGAAAGAGGTGACGTTGCTGACCGATTCAAAGGAGGAGAAGGAAACTCTGGTGTCGTTGAAGAGGTACCACTGGATTTCAAAGTCCAATTGCTTGTCGGAGGCCGGTTTCGGTGCCCCGTCCCGGGGCTGCCCGGAGGGGATGGTGTCGGTGCAATCTCTGGAGTAGCAGTAGTAGTGGCCGCTCTCGGAGGAGATGCCTGAGTGTACCACCACACTGCAGAGGTCATATACCACAGACATGAAGCCACTTCCCGGGGCAGGCCTGTCCTTCCCACGCCGGCAAACCTCCTCGGTTTCCTCCGGGGTGACAAGGATGGGCAGCTTGAGCACCACGGGGATGGAGACGTTGTCCAAGATCTTCTTCCTCTTCATAGTCCGTGGGTCGAAGGAGAACCGCAGCAGTGTGAGGATGAGGTAGTGTGGACCCTCCGTCAGCTCCGCCACCTTCTCAGCATCCTGCAAGGATGCACATTTCTCACAGTGGTATTTATTCTCTGCTGTCAGTCTCTCCGGGGATAGAAAATAGTTGATTAAATCTGGGACGGATCTGGAGTCCTTGGGAGCACATGCCTGCTCCCCAAAAGCCAAGAGAGGGTCTTTGGTTGCATCCACGCCAACGGCATCACCACTTATGGTATTTGCCGCTTCTCCTGGCTCCTGGAAACCCAGCGTTTCCACCGGCATTGGCAGGGCTGCAGGGTCTCTGGCCGTGGGGGCCTTCCTCGGGACCCAGGGAGACCCCGTAAGCTGGCTTGGGTTTTCAGGAGGCTCGATAAACTGTGGGCCAATTTCTTCCACTGGTAAAACAGATGTGCTCACACGTATGTGCCTGTCTGGTGGGGGAAAAGCCAGAGACAGGTCTGTGAAGGCTTCTTCTCGGGAGGAGACATTCAGACACTTCAAGCAGCGGATCTTTGTCATCATTTTACCCCCAAACATCTTCTCAATCAATGTCTTGTTTAAGTAATGATGATCGACCGCCTGAGACATCAAACTGGATTCCTTGAGTTTCTGATAGATCCTTTTTCCAGTTTTTTCTTCTTCATGTAATCTTTGGCAGGAGAAAAAAAGGCTGCATTATGCACCAATACAACATCAAGAGGTAGTTTCTAACGTAACGTTTCTGTTCTTCACTCCAAGGGGTTAATCCAGGTTAACCTGTCTGTGCCCAGGGGTCTGGTGCTGCGGGAGGAAGGTGGGACGATTTGGGCAGGATTTGGGAACCTGAGGTCTCTACGTGCCATTGACCCCCCACTTCTAGAGGGATCACTCTAGAGCAGAGCTTCAGAATTTCTAGGTAAGAGAAAGGCAAAATCAACATTTTACAGAGGAGGCTGAGTGGCTTAGCAGGCAAATCTCTAAACTTGGTACAATTCCCTTTGCCCTCAGAGCAAAGGCAGAAATTTTCAGGCTGAACTAAGTTCTGACCTTACCCCTAAGCCAGCCCAAACAGGGTTTTGTCAAGGAGCCCTGGACCGGTCTCACCATCTTTCACCCCAAGCCTCCACTCTTCCAACTCCTCCAGGTCTCAGCCGCTTGCCCTCTTTGCACGTGGGTCACCGATAAGCATTACATCAGGTCTAGGGATGCCATTATCACCAGATTTCGAAATTACGGCACTTGCCACGTACCGGTCCAGCAAATACTTGAGATATTCCGAGCAGTCCTGCTGAGCTCCAGGGGTGAACCAGGGTGGCCAGGAGGCAGAGAGGAAACTCTCGGGTGAGATGGCAGGTCGCTGGCAGCAACACAGAAGAAGGAGAAGTGCATTTAATCCTAGGGATTTGGTTCTCACTTCACGTAGGGGGATGGAGAGGGGAGAGGAGGGATTTTCTGGCTGCTTCACTGGGAGCAGGGTGTGCTTGTGTGCCCGATAAGGCCCCCTTTCTTTCCCCTACGAAGGCTAATCTCAGTGCACAGGAAAACTTCCTTGCTTTGCTGCAAGCTAGGATGGTAAAGATGAATTTCAGTCATTATTTTACATGTACTTCTAAAAAATATCTGCGTCTGTATTTCTTCCTTCAATTGTAAAATGGTTTATTGGCCTGACCCACAGACTTCTGCTTAATTCAGCCTGAATTTAATTTGATGCTCCATTTAATTCGATTGGGATCTCTCTCACCAAATCCTTTCATAAAAAAAAAAAAAAAAAAAAGGCAAAAAAATCCACTAAATTTCCACCCGTCATTCTGATCACTGCAGGCAGGTAATCGGCACTACCAGATAATGTAATCGTTGCCGTTAGGAAGCTGCTGTCTAATTAACAGGGAAAAAGACCTATTTTTGGCAAAGAAATGACTTTAAGAACAGCCTGAAGAAGAAAAATAACTAGAAGGTTATTAGGAAATTAGCAAGAAATTTTTAACCATAAACTACACAACAAGCAAATATGCTTCCGTATTTGCTCATCACAGATCACAGGCACCCTAACCTACCATCAAAAACTAGACTCTTCTATGGCCAAATATTAAATTTAACAGGTTGTTCCCCCAAAAGTCATCTGTAATGACATAATACCACAATGCAACAAGCCAGCTCGGTCAGTCAAGGTCTGGAAAACGGAGAAGCCCAGATGACTGGTTTCACAGTAAGGGAAAATTCATTGGACATTCAAAATCATGTCTTTCTAAGGACAGAAAGATATTATTTTCAAGAGAGGAGCTGGATATGACCTAGCTGTATCTCCAGAAGTCACTCATATTATATTTCATGTTTGTCAAGAAAGCATTCATAATTAATTTGTTTAAGGGTGTCATTTTTATTTTACTTTCCCTCACATACGGAAGATTCAAAGCATCTGGAGTCTAAGGGGTTTTTTTATTATTATTCTTTTAACAAAACCACTTTTAAGGCGATTTTCATCGATTGCTTGTGCTTTGCTGTGAAGCAAGGGGACAAGTGAGCTGCTCCAATTGTCTTCCTTGCTGCATAGCAAGAAGCAAAAACCTCTGCTTTATACCAACAGGCTTTTCAGCTGGCCACATATGTAAACTATTACCAAACAGACTTCATCATCAAAACTATTAGTTATTACACCAGTCCAACCCAGGAAGACCACAGGCTGAAGACAGGCAGTCTGGTGTGAACACAGCTCGCTTTCATGGGTGATAGGATCTTGCCTCCTCCACCCCCAAAATTAGCCTCCTTCATATAAACAAAATTTGTCCCATTACAAAAACCCACCAAGATCCACAGCTCCTTATCAGCATGCTGGAGTTGGCAGGAAGCAACTTGGAGACGAGCCTTTCCGCAGCCGACAGTCCAAACAAATAACTAGAACATGAAATAATTACCTGACTGTGCTCCAAAAATGCAAAGAGCCACTGGAGCTTTGTCATCAGGGGCTGGGAGTTGCCCTCGGTTAAATTCAACACCGAATGCCGAAAGCTGCAAAAGAAAAGCAGAGATGCAAACTGTAAGATGGAAAATCAGCACGGGACACACAATGTCGGTGCGATGAGCAACCCCTGGAGCAGTCTCGAGTAGGAGCAAGGAAGCAAAAACTCACTCTGAAGCCATGAAAAGAGACTGTATGATGCTGTTCATGTAGCAGGTGTTTCCCAAGTTAATTAACCCGATCTTTCCCGTCTCCGATTTGGACGCCAAGCGTGGGTAGAAGCAAGCCAGTTCATTCTTCTGGGAGGTCCAAGCATTTTGTCCCAAGAGATGTTTAATCCGGTCTTCATTTGGAATAGGAAGAGCCTAGGAAAGAGAGATCTGTGTTATGAATCGTTATCTTTCCACGTGAAGAATTAGTAACGGGCAACTGCAAAACTCCTCTGCTAGAGGTGTTCACGCAACTCATTTCCTCTGCTCTTTGCATGAACATGCATCCATGCAAGGAAGTGTTTAGCTGCCAGTATTAGTCCTTTAGAAGCATTTAAGATTAAAGTTATAGCTAAAACCCACTGGCATGAACAGGACTTCTGCAGGCCCACCATTCTCTCAACTTGCCTACATGGGGCTCAAACTCAGAATTGTAAACCCTTTCTTCTACCAGAATTTGAGGTGTTGAGGTTAGGACATCCCTACCCGTAGCACAGTCCTTCTGCACTAGGCTGCAAACTAAAATACCATTTCCATATGGAAAACAGAAAAATGACTGAGATGTGTGTCTTACTTTAATTGCTTCTAGGACTGGTTCATAGAGATCTGGAAATCCTGAGAAGCGGAAGAACATGCAGTGGATGAGCTCGGACAGCTGCTCCAGGGAGCTGGTGGCAGAGTTGGAGTCCTCCTTCTTCAGAGAGGCCACCAGCCTGGGGATGTGAGGGAGTAGCTGGAAAAGGAAAATTCACAACATCAAAAAAGGCTCCAAATTACTCACAGAGCTTTAACACACATGCAGAGGAACAAAATTCACTCCCAGGCAGAAAGGACAGTCAACAGGAGTTGACTTCAGTCCCATTCTGGACTTCACCCTTCACCTTATGAACTCAACAGCAACTCTTCTGTGACTTTGGCAGTGCAAACGCTATAGACCTTAGAGGGTTTCGTGTTGCGTGACGCCTGCAGGTTTGTGCCACTGCTGCGATTGCCATTCTTTGTGCAGATCAATCTCTACTAAATCACACACCCATGGTGGAAAGGAGCATTATATGCTCACTGCCAGTTGCAGGGATTCAAACCTACAAGATAGACGAATTAGCCTACAAGAAGTGTCGTCTGGTGTGCTGTATTTTATTTTATACTGTATAAACTAAACTGGAATTGGTATGGTCAGATGGGTGGCAACAGACACATAAACAACACATTTGTTATTTTGCTTTCATCTAGGAAAATTAAAAATCAACAAGCAGATGCAAATGCAAATGATATCTTGCTCACAGGCACCCTCTGCTGACCCCACAGCTGCACAGAGAATCAATGACCCATTTCCAACCCTGCAGATGTGCTAGAGTGACTCTGGGCACTTACGCAACCTTTTTCATATTTATATTTTACGTTATTTTCACCCCAGAACAATGCTAGAGTAAAGTCTCAGGATCCCCAGTCCAGCCATTTCCTGGTCCTCTCTTCCTCCCTTCCTTTTCCTCTCTTCTTTCTCTCTCTTTCTCCTCAAAATGTTGGAGATATTAATTATTTCCTTTCCAACAGGAAAGTTTTGTTGGGGAAGCAAAAGAATCCCAGTACCATTTTATACATCAATATTTTGCCAAGTTGTGATGGGAACAATTCTCAAATTGCCCTTCCAAAGTGCCAGGGCAAACACAAAAAGATAAGAAGCAAGATGGGTTCGTGCCCTGTTTTTTTAAAAATAGGGGAGGAAATTTATGCTCGCTGGGCTGCAGATGGAAACTTGAAGCCAAGAGCAACTGACAGCTTTTGGAGTGTTTCAAAATTTGGACGCCCAACCGAAGACAATCTGTTGGAATGATCCTATTTTTAGAAACCAAGGAGTTTCTCAAGAAATTCAGGCTCATTTAAAGCGTCTCCAGCTGAGGAATGAAAAAACATCAGTTGAAAATGTTGGCTAGTTTTGCTTTTTTCCAGCCTTATCTGTTTATTCTGTGAACCTTAGCTGAAAAGCCAAATGTAAAGGCTTTAACGAAAAAGTATAAAATAAAACATTAATAGGAGTAATTTTCCATTACTGCTTTTATCAGTTCAATCACTGCAAGAATGCCTTTGCCTTCAGCCTTGCTTTTTAATTACAGCATTCCAGGGGCAACGCCAGTGAGAAGCAGAGCTGTGCCTTAGTGTCAGCAGCAAAATAAAATATAAAATATCCCTGTGGAAATGAAAAGAGGAGATTCAAATGCTGCTAAAAGTGGTTTTTGCTTTTAACAAAGGAGAAGTCATGAAGCGGAAGTGTTCTGATCCAGTCTTCTAGTCTTTTGTGTTGATGCTGTACAATACTCTGAAAGATGACCCATCACTTCAAGAAATGGTAATGGGTGCCACATGCTGGTGACAATTTGAAGTCACATATGTGGGATGGGGCCCACTGGGTCCAACAGACAGTTGGGCACCTGTTTAGGAAACAGCAAGGGATGTTTAAGAATATATTCCCTGTGCCCTACTGCCTGAGCCCTCCGAGATGCTCTCAATGCAAAGGCTTCACCTAACGCATCCCAAAGCCAGATGGCAATATCTACGGTGTCTCAGTTGAAAAACTGGGAACAAATATGGGGTTGTATCTTCTAAACCTGCCCATGAAACTACATCCTAAGCCAGCCTGGATCAGCGTAGCCCCGCTCACCTTCCTGCCCCAGGCCACCCCTCCACTTCCTCTCCATTCCTTCTCCAGGCAAATGCAATAGTGCGATGGTTAGCCCAGACCCAGACCAAGCTGGGCAATGCTGACCATCAGGATTTTCTGCTAGGTTAGGTTTCAACTTTTACCACGCAGTTGAGCACATGGCTGTACAAATGGCTCAGCACAAGGGAGAGTGACTGGAAGAAGCAAGCAGTCTAAGAGCAAGAGCAGGGAAGAGGGAAACCTCCTCTTCCACCTGCCTGCAGGGCTGGCAAACAGCAGGTTAACATGACTGCAAGACCACTGCCACTGCTGATGAGACCCTCAGTGTGACTTGACAGGCCATCCAATCTATTTGCATTAAGTGCATCCTCGGCTAGTGGGCTTTGAAGTTGAGAGAAGACCATGGGGATGCACTTGCCCATGGAGATCACTCCTCTAGCTGGCAGAGCACCACAGGAAAAATGTGGAGCATGCACATATTGCACACATTTCAAATCCAGAAGGGCCAAGGCCCAACCAGCTTTATACTGATTTATCCCTGAAGATGAGCCACCACTGGTAAGCTTCAAGAGAAATGGGAGGAACTATCAGAGGACAAAGCAAAGGCTCACTTCTCTGCACCTCACTCTCTGACGTAGAGTGGTTGCTCTATCTGTGGCAACAAACTCCTTTTAGGCTCGGAACTTGTCTTTCCATCTAAGCACCAGCTCCATGGTGCCTGAAAAGTTGTTTGGGCTGCAGGAGAGGCTATCAGTGGATGGAGAGGGTTGGGTTTACATCACTTGGTGAAATTAAGCAGATGAGGGGAAAATTCCCCCATAT